GGTTCCCAAGAGAAGATGCAAGGAATTACATCTCTGCTTACGAAGAAGATGATTCTAGGAATGAAATGCTATTGAGACTTGCAAAGCTCGATTTCAATCTATTACAATTGTTGCACAAGGAAGAACTATGTCTCCTCTCAAGGTGAGTGAGTTCATCTCAAAAAAAGAAATAAAAAACAGGGCGAGTAGGTGGGATTCAGAGAGGGGTTGAAAGGGAGGGGGAGCATACGACATATGCATTTGGGAAACTGATATGTTTGTGTTTTGACTTCTAGGTGGTGGAAAGATTTGGATCTTTCATCAAAACTTCCTTATATAAGGAGCAGACTGGTCGAGAGCTACATTTGGGCTATTGCAACCTATTACGAACCTCATTACTCCCTTAGCAGGATCATTTTCACCAAAATTGTTGTAATGTTAACTGTTGTAGATGATACATATGATGCATATGGTTTACCTGAAGAACTCAGACTTTACACTAAAGCAACACAGAGGTTATAATTTCTTGAAGCCCTTGTTTCTTTCTTATAGCCTCGTAGCAAAGTCATTTGTTTATTGCAAAAACTAGGGAAATGGATAGATGATATTGAATTGTGATGGCTTCTTCTGTAGTAAGGGCTTTCCAGTATCATAAGCATGTGAATAAAAAAGACAAATGAATGGGTTGAACCATCAATAATTCGCTTTTTATGCAAGAAGCTCCCCTGCACTGTGGACAACCAGAAAAGAGGAAACAATTTCTATTTTTTTTCCTTTTGCATTAGATTAAGAACTAAAATGACATTGCTTTATTTTTTAGGTGGGACATGAAGGAAATCGACCAGCTTCCAGATTACATGAAAATAGTTTACAGAAATCTCTTAAATCTGTACAAAGAATTAGAGGAGGAAATGGCAAAGCAAGGAATATCATACCGCCTTTATTATTCACAAGAAGCAGTATGGGTCATATATTTCTTCTATATTTTTTTTTTCACCACTTGTTGGTTTTTTCTTTTTACTATTGTCCCTGATCACAGTTTAAAGAAATAGTTATGGGTTATGAAATTGAGGCTAACTGGTGTAACAAAGGATACAAGGCGACATTTGATGAGTATATGAGTAATGGGTTGATCACTGGTGGTCATTTGATGCTTGGATTCGCGTCCTTATTGGGCATGGGAGAAGTTGCTAACGTTGAAGCATTTGAATGGATGCAAAACAAACCTAAAGTTCTTGTTGCAGCAAACATAATTGGGCGGCTCATTAATGACATAGCGAGCCATGAGGTATAATAGTTACTTAAATCACTAAACTCAATAATCAACACATAGATTTGCACATATACTTATTTGTCAAAAACATTTTTGTTTGTGACATTCATTTGTAAATTTCTCCAATTTGAAGGAAGAAGATCAGAGGGTGCATGTTGCTACAGGGGTTGAATGCTATTTGAAGGCTTATGGAGTGTCAAAGGAAGAGGCTATTGATGAATTGTACCGAATGATTGCAAATGCATGGAAAGATATTAATCAGGAATGCCTTAGACCAACCCCCGTTCCTATGGCTATACTCATGCGAGTTCTCAACCTGACAAGATTTCTGGAGGTAGTTTACAAGGATGGAGATGCATACACACATCCAGAACTACAGTTGAAAGATTATGTTGTCTCATTGTTAATCGATCCCATTCCCATATGAGCCTGGATGTTGATTAATGTTTTTTTTTCCTAAGGTATGATGATTATTGTTTGTGCTTTCAAGATGTTATGTTATGCAAGTATTTGGAATACTAAGCATTTAGCGTTTTATATGTTGTACTCTAGCATGGATTTGATTTGAGTGTGCAATGAAAAGATGTTCAATAAATGTGAAGAACTGACTGTAGTTTGTCATGCAAGTTTTCAACTCAAGATGACTCTTCAATTTTCGGATAATCTTACGTTTATCTCTTAAAACATTTAAAATACTTTAATTGAGGCAGTTGAGGACCTATATGATATTGTCTTACAGTATTAACCCAGCTATGTTTTACGTTTGGACACTTATTCGTGCATATCTAGTATAAAAAGTGAATAAGAAGAGGAAAGAGGTCAGGGTGTGATAGAAAAGGGCCGACAATGTTACATTAGTCACCCTATTTGGTGACGTTATCATTCTCTATCATTAAATTAACAATGAACTCCACAATTAATAGAAATCTATTATCAATTTAATAGCTACGATTTTTTCTTGATTTGTTGTATTACTTGTAATTATCTTGCTTAGTATGCTGCAAAACTTTTTGATGTATCTATGATTCGTGGTTCTTTTACAGACCTGCGTTGTTTATGATACTAGTTTCACATGCCTATTTATGAATGCCAATTTTGTTATAATTTTGTTATATTTGATTTTCATTAAGTGATAGTTAATTTTGGGTCTTTGAAAAATGGGTTGAATTTGTGGTCTAATGAGATGAGTCCAATATTATTAAGTGATTTATCTTGATGGGTTTATCTACATCTTTTTAATTGATGTGGTTGATACAGTAAAATAAAGACGTTAATCTAATTACTACATGTCATTGGAGAACATTTTAGATTCATTATAAATAGATAGGCTAGGTCACCTATCCACTTCATAACCTAATTTGGCTTATCACATTGAAAGCTGCGTATTGCTTTGAAAGAAAAGAAGACATTACTCTTCCGCAAAAAAAAAATCCGAAGATCGAAAATTATGACTCACACATGTATAATCTAAACTGTATAATTTAAGGGTTTTAAGTTTCACGTACGAATTATTAAAATTATTATGTGTGGTATCAAAGTCTATCGTCTATGAACTAGTAATTTTTCGTACCTAAAAGTACTCTATAATAAACCTAAAAATCGCAAAAACTGCCCAATGCTAAAGGCACATTATCACCCAAAAAATCACACCTAAGAAATTGAGAAAATTTGGCAGTCAATGTAAGCCCAATGGTAGGTGCAATAAGCCCCTAGCTGAAGACACTTGGTAACACAAAAATATCACTTAAAAAATTTTAAACTTCTAGTAAATTGAAGCAGAAAAAAAAGTGTCAAATAAATTTCACAATAGAATAGTGTACACCTTCAACCGGACTTTCTTCAAATAATTTTATGTCAAGAAGTTAAACACAACTAGTCATACACCCACACTCAAATGAAGAAATAGACATTGCTTAAAAAGATAAAGAAGCTAAAACCATAAAAAGTTGGTCACACATTAAAAATGAACACTCATAATTCCATGTCAATTGAATTAAACACATAGAAAGACACTATTGCCGTACTGCTTTCTTCACATCTCCCATGCTTCAAGTCAAGTCATCTCCCATGCCACATCAAATTTTCTATACCTTTTACTTCATGAATTTTGAGCACACCTATGTGTACTATCGAAACTGTCATTTCATTGGTTACTAACACTTTTATTTTTGAATAGGAAAACTGAAATTGGCACTCGTGATCTATCAAGTAAACCTACAAAGGCATTTGAAGACCTCCCCAATTTTGTAAGTGATTATTAGCAAAAGGACAGCGGCTCACATAGTGCATTCAGGTGACCTAATAAATTTCATGCTCAATAAAAAAAAGAAAGAAAATTCAATAGGATTTCCTGTAACAGTAGAATTAAAAAAATAAAAAAAATCACGTTGTATACACAATTTGTATATCATATAAATGTACTATGAAATGCTAGTAATTGCCTTTCATATTTTTAGATTCTCATGAAAAATAAATTCAAATGCAATAAAAAAAACTAAACATAATCAAATTGAATTCAAAACATATTATAAATAAAAGGACTAACCACTATATAATAAAGGAAAAAAAAAAANACTTATAGGACCTCCTAATGAGGTTGAGTCAATCAACCAAGAGTTTAAATTCCTTGAGGACACATCTCCCTATTGTTATAAATAAAAGTCTAGGTATCAGGTAATGCAATTGAATTCTAGTCTATTCACTCAACACTTTTTTCTGACTTGCAATCTGACTAAAGCATCGAAATCCATTTGGCCGCCTCTGGCCATCGGCTTACCTAGTTGTTCTCTTGTCTTGCAGGTTCCACGATGCTTCTTCTCCACCCTCTCCATCTGTATGAGATNTCGAAATCCATTTGGCCGCCTCTGGCCATCGGCTTACCTAGTTGTTCTCTTGTCTTGCAGGTTCCACGATGCTTCTTCTCCACCCTCTCCATCTGTATGAGATGGTTACTCTTTGTGCGAAATTGTCCTTGCACAATTTGATATGCTGATTAATATTTTTTCCTGGTTGCCACCATAATGCTAGGACCATGCCTTGCCCATTGTTCCTCAATGTTGGGTGTCACCCTTATTTTTTTATTAAGGTTAATAACACTTTTAGTCATTAATATATATATTTTATTAATTTAGTCCTCATTGTATTAATTTTGTCACTAAAAATACTCAATCCATGTCAATTCGGTTCCCTAATCAGACAATCTATCAAGTTTTGACAGAAGTTATCACGTGTCTTTTTTTAGACAGTATCACATGTCCAACACGTGATCANAGACAATCTATCAAGTTTTGACAGAAGTTATCACGTGTCTTTTTTTAGACAGTATCACATGTCCAACACGTGATCATTCTGTCAAAAACTTAACGATCTATCTGATTAGGGACCAAAAAAATGATTGAATCCGTTATGGGTAAAATTAATAAAATTGATACAATGGGAGTTAAACTAACAAATAATACATATTTTAGAGACTAAAAATATTATTAACCCTTGTTATTATTATGGTTATGCCACTGAAAGAAAGAAAGAAAATTTGGCCATAAATGTGTCTGACCCTAAAAGTCAAAATTTTCTCACCAAAAACTTTTTTGTCACGACCAAATTTCGTGGCTCATTTCTCACAGTAACTTTGTTTGGAAAGCTTTGGCGACCACCAATAATTTTGCCATTGAAGGTACACATTATGTGGCAAATATTTAATTGTTAAGAAACCTAAAAATTCATCGACAAAAAATATTGGTCCCCGAAAGTATGCACCTATATCAATTCACTAAGCATGGAACTGTAATTCGACCAGAAAAAAGTATGAACCTTTAACAATTCACAAGTAATTTGATTTGCCTCGTTGGCCAATTATTATTTAAAAATAAATAATCCACAAAGTGCAGATGATACCGAAAATTTCATAATTGAAACCAAATAACAACACAAAAGACATAACAAAAATAACTAATAGAGGTCCCATTAATCTTGAAATGTACAAAATATTCCACATACTTAGATTTCAAATAAGATGATAGGATCATCAAAACTAACTTTGTGTAATAATCATCAATTTGTGAATAACAGGAACAAAACTTGGTAATAAATTACAAATANTAGATTTCAAATAAGATGATAGGATCATCAAAACTAACTTTGTGTAATAATCATCAATTTGTGAATAACAGGAACAAAACTTGGTAATAAATTACAAATAGAAAAGTAAAATAGAAATTGATGCAGCTAAATATGGCGTAGAGTAAAGCCCGTGACAAGCATAATCACATGCCTGGAGGGATCACGAGACAAATACATGAGTTGGATCTGATGTGGGGAAGAACCCAAATCGATTCACCGACTCACCGACTCNTAGAAAAGTAAAATAGAAATTGATGCAGCTAAATATGGCGTAGAGTAAAGCCCGTGCCAAGCATAATCACATGCCTGGAGGGATCACGAGACAAATACATGAGTTGGATCTGATATGGGGAAGCAGCTCAAGAACCCAAATCGATTCACCGACTCGCTCGCCCATATTCCACCATTTTAGCTCAAACTAGTTGCAGATACTTGGGGAAGGAGGTTTCACATTTCTTGCCTCCCAATTTGAAAAACAGCTACAAAGCTCCAATGGAAATAGGAGCTTAGCCTATAAAAGTAAGGAGGCAGCTTTGCGCCAGGTAAGTAACTCCTTCCAGCTAAACTCCACCAACTCTATAATTCATTTACTGACTTTATCATGAAATANCTTGGGGAAGGAGGTTTCACATTTCTTGCCTCCCAATTTGAAAAACAGCTACAAAGCTCCAATGGAAATAGGAGCTTAGCCTATAAAAGTAAGGAGGCAGCTATGCGCCAGGTAAGTAACTCCTTCCAGCTAAACTCCACCAACTCTATAATTCATTTACTGACTTTATCATGAAATAGTCAACTATTAGAGCCCCTCTAGTCCTCAGCTTCTGTGTAGGAACTCACCGGTGACTGCTAGATCATTATTTCACCATGGTGCTATTTTTTGGGATCAACAGTTGGTGTCGTCTGTAAGAATCGACTTGATTTCCAACAATAAAATCTAAGTCCCATGGTGATTAGAAGAACATCCAAGGATCCTACAGTCGATCAGATACAAGAACATCCAAACTCCCACCCAGCAGGATGAAGAAACGTGCCCTCACCAAAAAAGGAATCCACAAAGGTTAAAAGGTTGGAGAAAGCTATTGAGGATCTAAAGAAAGCAAAAGTAGCAGTTTTTTGAGCTCCTGGAACAACCTCAAACCAAGGAACATGTCGCAGATAATCAGGGGGATGACTTGAGTGAAAACGAAGTGTCCGATCCCCATAATAATGATCGATGAGAGCGGAAGTTATGGGAGGTAAACGAAAAGCTAGGAAACATCATAAATACAGTGTAGGTTCTGGTCCCAGAAGCAATTGAGGCTCTAGTTC